ATGTCAGAAGCTATGGGTGTCACGTACAACGGGTCTTAAGCCTTCACTTGCACCAAGAGGATGTCTCCTGGCTATCTGTGCAGAACTATCTCCCGCCATGTTATACCACATTTGGAAGAACATATTAGCTGGAGATGTAGGTAGCTGGGACTGTATCCTGGCCCTCTTGAGTCCGCAGGTCAACAGCTCGGTGATACCGGCTTCAGCCACTTCAGTGTTGCAATCAGTTCTTTGCATTGTGCCTTCTATTATCTCAGTAAGTCAGGGTTGTCTCAGTGGCATCAGACTGGAGTTTAATAAGAGCGGGCCAGGAGGATGGCTATATAACGTCGATGACCACTTATGGTGGCCAGGAATTTCTTAGGTATCGTGCTGGCTACAGAGAGAATCGGAATGTTAATAAAAAGCTTCAAAGAGCCCGATAACATCGGTGAGTACTTCATTGCTACTGTTATCACCCGAGATCTACGTCCGAACCGGGCTTGGCAATTTTGTTCCGGCGGGAAACAATCACCTTCACACCTCCTTACTAGGGCGGCGTGCGCTGCATTGCTAGACGAATAGCATGTGGCTTTGAATACATCTTACGTGGACTTAATTGCTGATAAAACGCATAGTTATTGTTTCACATTTCTAACTTCCCCATTGCCCATGTTAGTTAAAAGCCAAGCCAAGACTACCTACCTATGCTTACTGGGGGATTCGATCCCCAGCTTACTGAGTTGGAAGCTTCCCAAAAGGGGTACTGTTAGGTGCTGGTAGTCTTACCGAATTAACAAAGGAAGGGCTAAAAGGATGGAAATGACGTTTTATTCAAATATAGATCGTTGTTTAGGTACTTGAGGGTGGCTTAAAAGCCAAGACCAGATGCGGATATCCGAAAGAAATCCACATTTGCCATGTAACTTCCCGAGATAACTTACCATGGTACCTAATGCATTCATAATGTTCGAGTTTCTTTCAATATCACCTTAATTATTACTACGCAGAAAACCTCAGGGGCAAGGTCAAGTGTATATTATCGCCTCAACATTAATCGTATCTTAGTATCTACGACAGCCATACAATCAAAGGGGAAACATGGACTACCGGAAACTATCACTTACCCTCTTCGCTGTTGTCGCCACGGTCCGAGCAGCACCGTTCGTACAACCGGTGCTATTCCATGCTACATCTGTTGTTGAGACCTCGAGCAATGGGGCCTGGGCTGATTACACGATATGCCCAGCCGACTACTTCAGCTACATGACAGAGAAGGGCTTTTTCAGTTTCGGCTGGTATGTTCTTCCATCACACAGTCTTGTTCCCACTTGTCGATTATTGACTTCGTGTCTGTAGGTGGGGATTAAGAAGCAACATGGGTAGCGTAACGTACTTCACGCAAGATGCCGATCCGTTCCACTGGTTTGAGCTTGGCGAGAGGGAGTCGTGTGATAGTGTTAGCGGCGCTTGTCTGTACAGCACGCAAAACATACCTATTCGCTTTGAGAATCATGCACAGCCGCCGCCTTGCGCACCAATGCCACTCAAGTACATTGAACGATCGCTTAATCTAGGAGATGATAATGACGATGGGGAGGATCGGGTAGAATTGACTTACACGGATGATGACGGGGTCCAAGCTCAAGGGTTGAGCATAAGACGAAAACTGAGCGGTGACCCACGCGTGGCAGGGATATGCCACAAGGCGCTGCGCATATTGAAGCAACTTTACGAGCAACATGACATCGATTTGGGATTTGAGATTGGGAATCTGTGTGCGCAAGAGACAAGTATAAGCCAACAAGAGGTACCAGAGTTATAGTTAACCACTTACGAATATAACTAACTTAGTTACAATATGAATTCTACTAGGAATACCTGCTTGGGTATCTATCTCCTACATTATAACTAAGTTCAGACTTCCAATTCGTGGCTCTAACGCAACTCCTTACTTAAGGTAAGTTAATGGTTATATCAAATTGAGTCAACATTCAATTAGTTAGTCTTTATAAAGTTGAAAGACTTTAGAAAGATAGACCTAACTTTATATGTTATCTGCTAAAAATGACAACTGTCAACCCCGCCATACTGCCCGATGATATGCCATACGACAGCTGTTTAAACCCCTTTTCGATCGCGTTCTAGGTATCATTCTGATTTGTAAATCCTCACATTAGATACTAACGCTGCTAAAATTTCAAATCTTCAACAATATATCATGTCCTCGCTACAGCCTACTATTATACTAATACCTGGTGCATGGACGCTACCAGCTGCATACCGAAAACTGGTTGATGCACTCCAAGCAAGATCCTTTACTGTCCATGTGCTAGCTTTGCCATCAAATAATGGTGCTCGACCGCCTACTTCATCACACGGTGCTGATGTGGCAGCTGTATGTGGAATAGTTGAGCCTCTTATTAACGATGGCAAAGATGTTATTGTGTTTATGTATTCATACGAAGGTGTTGTAGGAACAAATGGTTTCGAGAGTCTCGCTTGCAAGGACCGTGAGGTCAAGGGTGTCCCCGGTGGCGTTGTTTATCTGTTTTACTTATCGGCCTACCTTCTAGCCAAGGGCCAGAGTATTTGGACCCTCATCGAGGACCTGGGTGTCTCATTGGACAGCATACCAGAAATTACTTTCGAAAAAGACGGCACCTGGTTTCTTAATGATCCCGTTCAAGCTTTATGTCATGACGTAAGTCCTGAGGATCAGGAGGAGCAGAAACGATTATCTACGCACCATCACCTGGATGCCGTTAAAGGGAAGATGGTGTGCGAGGCATGGAAAGACATTCCAAACACATATTATCTTCACTGCGCAGGACCGCCGCGTGCCGCCTATTCTTCAAGTCATGTGCTTCGCAAATCCGAAGGAGGTTCAAGTTACTATTAAGAAAGTAGTATTGGATTGTGCTCATGCAGCGTACGTAAACTATCCAGAGGAGCTGGCCGACCTGGTGGTTGAGGCATCTTGCCCTATAGGCCTGTAAGCCTCATTGAAAGAGAAGATATACGATGGGCATTTGTTGTGCTCCGTAATAATAATCGGGAATCTAGTATAATATGCGTAAAAGAAAATGAGCGAAGAAAGAAATCCAACAAATTTCAGAGTCTCAATATTAGACTACCAAGGCGAATCTAGGAAATACCCTATTAAGTCAAAGTGTTGAAGACTCGTTAGGGGATGTGGTACGAAATATATCACTAAGATAACAACTGAGCTCCCCCTTTACCAATATCCGCTTCCAGCCTCAGCCGAACACCGAGAGCTGTAGACAGGGAATATTGCACCGAACGCCGTAAGCGTCATGGGATAGGGCCGATGGAATGGGTGTTATACATGGCGATATAATTATAACCTGCGAACTACACGCAAGAGATTACTTTGTATACTATAGCCCGATAATTCAGGTATTAATCAAATGTTATCTTATAATGTCTAGGTAGGTAGTTAAATATAACCCATGGATTTCTATATACCTTGGATATGGGCTCTCAAGGTTCGACTATTCGTTCGTTTAGAGTAATCGTCGTCGGTAGTGATATTGCTGGCCTTATGGCTTCTAATTGCCTACAACGGGCGGGTATTGACCATGTCGCCCTTGAGAAACGCGCAGAGATTGCGCCTACTGAAGGTGCTAGTATATCTCTACATCTGAATTCTGCACGAATATTACGCTAGATCGACTGTCTAGAAGCGGTCGAATCGGCTGGTGCGCCAGGGGGTAGATTAAAATTCCGACTACCAGATGGGACTGTCATGGCTCATACCAGATATTGATTTGGTTGAATAGCTTAAAGAGAGGTACGTATAGGATAATCTCATAAAATCGCGAGTGTATGGGCTGAATTATTATTATTGATGCCAGCCACGGAAACGCCACGGCCATAATAATCGAACGGCGAAGATTACTACCCATAATACTGTCCCTGGCAGCAACACAAGGGAAGAAAAGACGTGTAAGTAAACTAATAATACCTATAACTATGCCAAAATACATAGTACCTATATTATACCTTAGATACACACAACACGCACTTTACGTTTGTAGCTATATCACAACCAGACTACGTATTTGTAATATTTCGTCTCGTTGAGCCGGTCATATGGCTAAGGAGGGTATTATATACCCCCCAATATGCTGAACAGCTGGCTGGAATGATGGTCTCTTATCCTGTTTGCGAATCACTGCCATTCAGAGAGTTGTGGCATAAGCGCGAGCACGCCTCTCTTGTGAATATTGAGGAGGGTGTACTAGATAAATGGCACTGTGCTCGAATTGTCCTTGCTGGAGATACTGCTCATAAGGTATGTTGAATGCTTAGATCAGGTATTTTTGGCACAAGAACCCACGCTTATCATGCACCACTGGTTAAATAATTCGCCCGATAGATGTTCCCATAGGGGGGGCCAAAGCTTGAGTATATCGAGATGGGAATAGCTATGTCGTGATTGCGGGAAGAACCTTAAAGCCATGTATCTACCCGAGTGCACGGATATACATGCACGTAATCTTCATTGACCGGATGTATCGGGATGCTTCCGGAGTGAGTGAGGCCTATGTAGGGGTGGTTTGTATGTACCTATCTCTTAAAACCGACGCCACGAGGTGAGGGGTTAACCATGAATATATTACTGTTATTTAGAGAATCAATTTAAAACTACATAGCTACCTGGTAACTAAGCAGTTAGTTATTCATAAATGTAGCTGTGTCATTAATTTTGCTTACTTTCCAAAGAATCAAGGAAGAACAACATGAAAACAATGATTGAACAACTAGTATCATATGTACCCCCTAATATACCCGGCTATTACATAGGTATACTACAGATCAGATTTACTCGTCTTTGATTGCCCCGCTTTCCATTTCCGATTCCAAAAGGAGTATTCCGCCCTAGTTGTAGTTTAGCTCTCTTAAAAAGCGAGCCGTTAGAAACTCCACAGACGGAACATCGGGACGACAAAAAAAAAAGGTATTTCAGGCCAACAAGGGTATTGGCAAAAGTTTATTGGACGAGCAGGGAGTTGAACCCTGGACTTCTCGCAGGCTTTTCTCGGAATTCTAGTACCTAAGATGCGAAGCGAGCACTCTACCACTGAGTTACACGCCCTTGAGTTTGGGAATAAAGCAGGAATGTCCCCCGCTTCATCTGATTGGTTCAAAGCTTCGTATTAAGCATTTATATTTTCTAGGTTAGGTAATTCCTGAAAGTGGTTTGTTGAGCCAGTCTCAAGTCACAGCCATGTAACCACGTTCTCCCCGAGACTCTTAATAAGTGGAAGTGGTCACTGACAGCCTGCCTCCTTCAATCGTAAGAATTAAACCGTTGCAGTACGACCCTGCTCGACTTGCAAGATACAGCAGACTTCCTCCCATGTCCTCTTCACTACCAAACCGCCTGGATGGAATGGCACCCATTTGATCGAGAGGCTCTGAACTTGGGTCTCTCCCAGCAAGGAAATCATTGGCTAGTTCGCTCGGGAATACTAGGTAGGATGAGATTAGCCAGCACATCCTTATTGGACAACGCAGGTATCACCTGATTACAATGACTTACATCCGGGCGCAAGTGCGTTCACCCTAATTTGATATTGGGCAAGATTGGTACTGGCGTGTTTGGCGAGTTGGCCTATGGCGGATTTGCTTCCAGCATACGCGGGTGAGGAAAGCCTGTCACGGCTAAAACCAGACAAACTTCCCGTAACTATAGCTTGGCTGGGGATCGAAAGAACATTGCTATCTTTTTGGGCTGGTGCTCCGAAACCTCCCTTTAAGGCATTCTTGTTTCCAGCATCAAGAAGCTCTAGGAAAGCTATCAATGTAAAATACGTTGCAGTAACATTTACATGGAACGTGCTTGTGAAATCTTCCATTGAGACTTCCTCGAATAGGTTCTTTTGAAGTTGTTGAATTGTGAAGTCCGGGTTGAAGGAATTGATGGGACCTATAACTCCCGAGTTGGCTACAAGCAGATTGATGTAGCCTACGTCGTTTTTAATGAATTCAACGGCAGATTGGAGCGACGACTTAGAGGTGATATCGCATACTATAGGGACGAAACTCGGGTGGTGAGAAGCCGCACTCTCGAGAGCAGCCTTTCGTCTCCCAAGTATATAGACCTTTTTCGCTCCCGCTCCTGCAAGAGCCTTGGCCATCATAAATCCAAGGCCTGGGACACATTAGATCGAAATAAATATTTTGGGTTATGAGCTTCTTACCAGTAGCACCTCCCGTAATAACGGCTATCATGCCATCAACTCGAAATAAACTTGTAGTCTCCATGGTGACGTATTTCCCTATATATATAACGAAATAGTGTTTCTCGAGGTTTTAAAGCTGTGAGAAGAAACGATGGTAGGTAGAATTTGTCACAGAAAAGAGATATAACTATATTCTCGTCGTACATCTTATATAGAGAGAAGTAACATAAACACAGTCGGAAATCGCTCTTGTGAGGTATCCTAAACTCCGCGCCAAGTTGAAAATCCCTATCACCTTCTGCGAGTGAGTAGGTAAAAACTCTTTCCTACCATGGGTCACCCAATACCGGGACATACCAACTATTCCGACCGGGGCTTGCGCGGCCTTGTTTTAGACGAGCTCGGCGCATATACGCCGGGTAGACGTCTAACGGCACAGGTGGGGATATCCCATAGAGGAAACGATATATCAACTAACCCCCATTGCAATAATGGGATGATAGAGTACAGCTTGGGATAGTTCCTATAATGACTGAAACAAACATTTGTCTCGTCTAAACCAACTTATCGAAGCGTGCAATTCAGTCCAAGACTTTGGAGAGTTCCTATCTCTGGTCAAAACAACTGAATAATAATGTTGGCATTTGTTAACTCCTTCGAGCAACTATCTCCAATAGGTAATACCGTTGCATGCCTCGGGGCTTGGCCGAAATGCGCTTTGAACAGCAATAGTGGAGCACAGGTGAATACTTTAACCTAGGTTAAGCAAGTAGAAGTTTGAAACTACGATTCTATTAGTTAAGTTTAAACATGACGATAACTAATAACTAGGTGCCTATTCATATGGCTCTCACCTTGAATAGAAACATATGCCATGACCTGAGTAGATTTAATTAATACTATTCAACTACCTCCATTGACGAAATTACCGATATTCTTGATTATGGCACAACTGTCCAAGCCAAGCCTTCCTTATCTGATAGCTGTTGCTCAACCATTCACCTTCGGATGCCGAGCCTTCATATCTATTTCCTATTCAAGTAGCCTTGTCTACGAAGAGGCCTGGAGAAATGGTTCGTGGCGTAATAACCCTGCCAAAACTTGAACAATATAGTACAGTAGAAGTGATAGCTCGCCACTGGCTATTGCTACGAGTAACAGATCCGAGGCCAGCGGAGATAAATTCATCTCCACATAAACATAAGTCCGATGAACTGCACAACTACGGAGAGGAAGTAGTCCTATTGGCTAGTATGTCTCCGGATACGATGAAAAGGGAAGTTCTGAAGGTTATTACGTATATGTGCTCATGATGCATAAGAAAAGGTAAAGATAAGAATGAACGTCATCGGTGCTCTGAAGTTCTAACCTCGGTGTGCGGTAAAAGATGATAAATAATTACAAATCCGGACTCATAACTTTATTAATACGTCTATTTCTTGTTTATTACGTGCGCTGGAATTAGTAACCATTAACAGATAATGTTAGAGCGATTGCCTATCTAAGGGGAGTTCTATCTTCTCAGGTGCCAGAGAGACATGGTATATTACTTACTTAAATATGATTTGCTAACACTCTCATACTATTCCTAAAGTACCTAGTTTATGTGAAGCCTTTTTAAATTTTTGATTTATTTATACCTATAAGTGGAGTGTGTACTTGTATCTCTCTTGCACTTGAGGGTCTGCAAACAACTTCTTTCTCATATACTGTCCTCGAACACGATCATGCTTGAGATAGCAGATCAAAATGATACTGAGGAATAAATCAAACTAATTGTTTTCATTGGCTCTTATTTCTGATGAATAGTATTCGAAACACTTCGCTTGTTTGTTTATCGTTTCGATACAACAATTATGTTATGCTTTTATTTATCGTATCAGGAAGCGTATTTAATGGTGTAGAATAGCCGCCCAAAATTCCACAGTATTATTCATCTCATCATCATAATCATCTATTCTCCAGTAGAACCACTCGATCAACACTCATCTTTTCAACCTGACCAATCAAGAACTTACTATTCATAATACTTAACGAGAAGATTACCCAAGATGGCTATCCACGGGAATAAAAAAGTATATACAATAGACGACGACGATGAGCTCAGCTCAGACGCCCACAGTGGCCAGGGCGAAGACTACAAAGCCATCGAACGGCTTTCGCTAGCAGACGCAAAAAATCGAAAGCACGGTGAGTTCCTTGTAGCTTCAATATGGGCTGGAAATATCCGCCGAAGACTCTCTGAGATTGAAGAAATTGGCCTTGAAGAACTAAAGGCGCAGAAACAGAGAGAGATAAACAAAGCGACTGAGAAAGCGGATAATATCCGCTGGGCCCTCATCGAAGTCGAAGACTGGGGGTTAGCGATTAGAGAAGGGTTGCTGCCTGACGGAACCCCATTCAGGTTCAGCACCTACTTCATCAGAAACCTGAAGGGAGCCGTTGAAAAGGCCGAAGCCGCCATGGCCCTGGCTAAAATCGCGCTCAAGGCTACTCTTAATATTTCATATTTAGGACAGCTCTCTCAAATGTCACTCGATCTTCTTGGGGTGCCATTCACGAACTTGACAAATAGCTACGAAAGCATCGCGAAGGAACTCCAGGACTTAGATAAAAGAACAAAGATGTGGAGGGAAATTGTCGACAATGGTGGTATCCCGGTAGACAAAGGGAAAATGAGCGCCTTCATTGTGGATGATGATCCTACGGCGAATCCTGCGGGTCCGTTTTTTGAAGCGGATGGGGAGGCTCGTGGAATTCTAATACAAGAACTTCAGCAAACCATAAACAGCGCCACCACGATTGATGGGAAGCGCGTCGACAGCAAGGCGATCCTAGATCAGTATTTCAGCTATTTGAAACAGTACCATGACAACTTCTACGCAGCCGTAGGAACACCAGAGGAAAAGAAGAAGAATAAGGTCTCGAGCAAAGAAATCGCACAGAGATTAGCCGAAAGGCATGAGAAAAGATTGCAGGCGGCTAGAGAGGAAAGGGTCAAGAGAAAGGTACAGCAAGAGTTGAACGCAAAAAGACAGGAGAGGACTGAGATGAGAAAGGACATCCTCAGAAAGGCACAGCTGGACCGAAAAGACCTGGAAGAGAGAAAAAGAAAGAGAGCAGTGGAGGGCGGAGAGAATCTGAGGCTTGGATTCCATACGCCTTCGGCCGGTAACCCACCAGCCAAAGACGGCGAGCCAGATACGAAGCGGCCTCGGGTTGAGTCACCAAAGAAACCAACACCGGTAACACCGGTAGCAAATGAAAACCCGGAAGAAAATGAAAAACCGGCACTGCCACCGACACCACCACCGACGCCGCCACCAGGACCAGCAGGACCAGCAGGACCAGCAGGACCAGTAAGACCAGTAAGACCGACACCATGGCAAGTACCGGATTGGGTTAAGACAGTCGCGAGTGGCAATAAAAACTGAATGAGACAAGTCTCCTACAACAGCCTCACCTGAAGCCAGCTGCTCAGATTTTAGTGTTGCATCGCGAGGTCCAGTCAACTTATTCATACGAATTTTAGAATGGATTATCTCTTAGATATCTACCTAGATAGTTGCAACACTGACAGGTACTTACCTGACATAGCTCCACTACCTAGTTTTCTTATTTACTTTTAGCCATAATTGTAGTTATTGTTTAAATAAAAAAATGTTTCCCCCCTTGCGGTATGAAAAAAGGTAAACTATGGCCCTGAAAGCTCTTGTTAAGTCGAGTTTAGTCCGAGCAAGGGTATTTTAAAAGGCTTAGTTAGTTGGAACCTTTGGAGAGCCTTATGGATGAATGTGTTAGCTAACAATATGATAAAGAGAACAACAACCGAGAACAAAGATATGTGGGCGTGTGAAGAGTCAGTCATATAGTTACCTCTAATGAAAACATAGGAGTAACCCTTTCTGTG